TGCAAGATGGAGTTGTCAGACTGCTTCCACCCGCCCGCTGCCAGTAGTATGCCTCCCGCCCAAGCCCGCCAGGGACAGAATGGGAGGGGCGGGCGGGGAAGCTGGCATGCTTGCCTGTGCTCTGCCCTCTGCCCCTCCGGGAGGCATGACTGTGACCGTGGGATGTCCCCGTGGCCGACCCCTAAGCTCCCACCCTCTGGACGGAGGAGAGTGAGGGGGAAAAAGGAGTTCAGGAGTCTTGTCTCCCCTCCATCTTCCCGCCTAGGTCAGGCCAGGATCTGCCTCTCTTCTCCCTGTCCCTGTTCCCCGTTCCTCTAAAGGAGTGACTGGAGAAACTGTCCGTCTGTGTTTGTGATTGTGATTAACATCGCAAAAACCTTCAAAGAATCTCAGATCGGTTAGAAGCCCGTTGGGTTTCACTTCTCAGGCGTGAGGGGTTGTTATCTCCCCCGCCCTCTCTCTTGATTTTTTTTTTTTACAAATTGTTAGGGAAATGGTGACATACAGAACGGTTAAAGTATGCCAGTCCGCACCGGTGGCTCGCGTCTGTAATCCTAGCTGCTCAGGAGGCTGAGAGCTGAGGATCACGGTTCAAAGCCAGCCAGGGCAGGAAAGTCACCAGACTCTTATCTCCAATAAGGCACTGGAAAATCGGAAGTGGCGCTGTGGCTCAAGCGGTAGAGCGCTCGCTTTGAGCTGAAGAGTTTAGGGACAGCACCCAGGCCCAGAGTTTAAGAAACACCACCGACCCCCCCCCCCCAAAAAAAAAGGATAGGAAAGATTACATTACATAAGTGGGGTAGGAAGAGTACATTTTTTTTTAATTAATAAGTTTTTTTTTTGTTTTTGTTTTTGTTTTTTTTTCTCGTGGGGCTTGAACTCTGGGCTTGGGCGCTATCCTGCCCGGGCTGGCTTTGAACCGCGATCCTCAGATCTCAGCCTCCTGAGTAGCTAGGATTACAGGCGTGAGCCACCGGCGCCCGGCTAATGAGTTGTTTTAATTGTGAAAATACTTACAGAGTGGTTACAATGACAGGAGCAAGAGCAAGGAAATGAGTACATTTCTTATCAAGCATTGCTGCCTCCTCCTTTGTTTCCATTCCTGCCCTCCCATTTCCCCCCACCCCCAAAAAAAGAGTACATTTTTTTTGGACAATGTCACCCCTTCCCTGGCTCTCTCACAGATTTTCCCTCCCTCAAGTTCTGTTTGTTCCCCAGCCACAGGTTGTGTGTCAACATAGTGTCTAGTGAGTGCCACTGTTGCACTTCTTCATCCTGGGTCCCTCCATTTCTTGCCCCTCCCGGAAATAGATGAAGGAAGAAACAATGGGGGGGGGGAAGAGAAAACAAAATAACGTCGATGATAACAAACACAAAGAAAGGGGAAGACTTCTTATATGATCAGAGGTATATAGGCATTGCACTTTGGTGAGCCTCATGTCTTCAATTAAGCAACCCAAAGGCCAGAAGTGGAGTTTTGGCTCAAATGGCAGACTGCCAGTCTCTCTGTTTTTTTTTTTTTGGCACGGGGTAGGGGGTGTCCGGTCGTGGGCCTGAACTCTGGGCCTGGGCGCTGTCCCTCAGCTCTTCAGGTTAAGGCTAGCACTCTACCACTTGAGCCACAATGCCACTTCCGGCTTTTTTCTGCTTATGTGGTGCTGAGGAATCGAATCCGGGGCCTCATGCACGCAAGGCAAGCGCTCTACCACTGAGCCACCTTGCCAGCCCCAGAGTGCCAGTCTTGAGCACAAGAGCCACGGGACAGCACTCAGGCTCTGAGTTCAAGTCCCAGGATTGGGGCGTGCACACACACACCCTGCACCCCTTGATCTTTGCTGCTGTTTCCTACCACACAGACACAGGCACGCATGGCAGCATGTGATCTACCTCTTCCCCTCCCCCCCCACACACTTTGCACTGCCACCACCGCCGCCGCCGCCGCCGCCGCCGCCGCCACCAACTATAGCAACAGACTTCCTAGGCTTCCCCTCCGCGCCCGCCACCCTCCCCCCCCCCCCCCCCCCCCGGCCCCTAGTTTAGATCGATGAACCAAAGTGTCCCCACTGCACGTTCGGCTCTGGCAAATATCAGATAGGATTACAGTGATGAGGAGAGAGGCGAGACCCGCCATGGATTGACTGTAGATCCCAGAGGACAGAATGCCAGCCCAGGCCCATTCATGGGTCAAGCCAGGAAAATGTTTTTTGGTTTTGTTTTTGTTTTTCATTTGCGGTCTCTCTCCACACCCGGTGTGCTTTGTCTGTCTGTCTCTCTGTGCGATAGGGGTTTGCCATTCATGACCTGTGTGGGCGGGGATGCTGGGGCGTGTGTGTGTGTGTGTGTGTGTGTGTGTGTGTGTGTGTGTGTGTGTGTGTGTGTGTGTGTGTCTGTGTGTGTGTGTGTGCGTGCGTGTGTGTGTGTGTGTGTGTGTGTGTGTGTGTGTGCGCGCGCGCGGGTGAGGGGGAGGTGTTCCTTCCTCACAAGACCTTCCTAAAGTGTCGGTTCGGTCGGGATCGATCTTGGGCCTGACGTTGTTTTTCCTTGTTTCGGGGTGCCACCTACTGGACACCGTGTGGAGTGACAGGGAGTGATTCGGGGCTGATGGCGGAGGCTGGCGACTCTCGCGAGAGTCTCGCAGACTCTCGCGAGAGTCGCGATGAGGTATCGCCGGCTCTCTTCTGCGGCTTTATTTACAACAAAACAAAATGAAACCACAGCAAACAAGGAAATTTTCTTGAAGGGAGGGCCGAGCGGAGGGGGAGGGGGGCCCGCAGGGGGTGTTTCTTTTCGTTATTTTCTGGACACGGAATTCGTTTGGATATTACGTCTTATGAGCAAACTGTACCAGTTTATTTACGGTTGTAATTTATATACAGTAACACAAATGTCTTTACGTCAGTATTATGAAAAAGGGTCCCACGGCTGCAGTGGGTGAAAGATTGAGACGGGAACATTTCTCAAGGAGTGCCAAGAAAATGGAAAACAGGCAATGCAATAGTTCAGGGAGAGTTATAAATATCAAGTGCTGCCCTAGGTGAAATTTCATGCAAATGTCCTCACCCACTCAGGTAAACTTTTTATATAGGTATCAGAATAAAATTTCTTGAACTATATAGACTTTTATTCACTTGATTTCCCTTAAGTAAGTTAAAATAACTGGCTGTTGACAGGGCACATCTGGGTATTTCTATCGGTCCCATAGAGATAATCTGTTAAATTTTAGAACACGGTAGATTATATTTGCTATTTCCCCAAATGGACTTTACAAAAGCCATCCGTGGCCCCAAAGATGTATCTGGACCTCTCATCATGTGTGACTAAATAGGCCTCAGTGAATTAAGCTGAGAAAGCTGCAAAACAAAGCAGATCACTTCAGTTATGGAACATGAATAGAACAAAAGTAGCTTTATGCCACTGGATCTTTAGTGAGAAGATAGAATAAAAAGAAGAAAAAAATATTGGAGGATGCAATATAAACCAATTGAAACGTATCCAACCGATGATCTGGCTTTGAAGTGGCTATTTACTGGTGTGGTCCTAGACCATGGTGTCCAGAAGGATACATCAATGTGTTTTGAAAGATCCTAAACCAAATATACTTGTAATAATGACAGGTACGTTTCTGTCCTCCTAATTCCAGCTTTAATCCTAACACGTCCGGTTGTGATAATACGTTCTCACAGTCGTGCCACTTAGGGATATCACGTCTTATGTCTTCTCTGCAATATCTTAAATGCTCAGAGAAGTTACACCTTCTGACAAAAGGACGTTATGTGTGTCACCCACACGGGGACACACACACACACTCTGTTTGCCCGGAGTGCTGTGTAGCTTACCATGTCCAGTTATAGTTTAGGTCTAGCATCCACATAGGAGGGAAAACACGTGCCGTGCCGTTGGTCGGTCGGTCGGTCGGTCTGTCTGTCTGTCTTTCCGCCGGTCTGTCTTCCCCTGGCATCACCTGTTCTAGGTTCTTCTCCGCCGCCGGCAACCCCCTCCCCCCCCCCCCCCCCCCCCGCCCCTCGCGCTCCTAGTCCGTCGATCTACTTCCCTCTGTCTGACATAATCTTATTCTTATTCTTTGGGGAATGGATGAATAAACTTTTACCTTGTGGATATTGTACACACACCGTAACGTGTGTGTGTGTGTGTGTGTGTGTGTGTGTGTGTGTGTGTGTGTGTGTGTGTTGACGGAATAGAGTGTTTGCCATGCCTGAACCCCTGGCTCTGCCTCTCTACCCGTCTGTGATGCGATGTGTGTGCTGGGGCACTTGTGCCTGCGTATGTTCCCAGTGCGAACTCCAAAGAGAAGTACGCCCGCCGGGCCTGTGGGTTCTAACCATGCTTCACCCCCGGGCGATAGGATCGCCCCTCTGACTGACGCCTCCACTCTGTTTGGGCCGGGGCCCCTCGTCTCTCCCTGTGTTTCCTCCTAGGGTTCCCTACCTGCCCTCCCCCCAGCCCCGCACACACACACACACACACACACACACACACACACACACACACACACACACTGTGCACCGCCACGCTCGGGTCCAGGTCCTCCACCACAGGCATGTGAGTGATGATGCCTCTACCCTCCGACACCTGTGTGTAGGGTTTAGATTCATCGCCTCATGCCCCGAATCCTGCTCCAGAGAGAGAGTGGCAGAGCCTATTAGAAAAGGCTAGCTGTCTGGACAGGCTAGAGTACGAACCGGTGAGAAGGTCGTTCCGTCCGGTGCGGTGCCCGGGGATAAGCGTCACACGGGTGCCACCTCCCCTTCCTTCCCCACCCAGCCAGCAGCGGCTCTCGTTTGGCTTTCCTGTCATTCGGTGATGGGTGAGTGGACTCATGCTTCCCATTGCACGGTCACCGTGGTTTTCCAGACCTGTGTGCGTGACGTAGCTACTCTCTGTGTGTTAGAAGAAACCTCTCTCTGGCCTTCCCCCTGCCCTTTCCCTGCCTGTGAGGGGTGGCGGGTGGGGGCGGGGGGAGGGAGTGTGTTGTGGGGCGGGCGAGGAGCGGACTTTCACAAGTGAGCGGGGTGCCTCCCGACGGCTCGTCTCTTGCTGGAGCCGACCCATCTTTGGGAGTTTTTTTTTTTTTTTTTTCTCTTTCTGGTTTCCATCTGGGGGAAAAAGAAAACAAAACGTACAAACAACCCCCCCCCACTCCCCCCCCCCCCCCAAAAAAAAAGACGGGCAGGCAGACGGTGGGACGAGCGCTCACTTGCCCTTTTCTGGCCATGTTGGGCGGGGGTGGGGGTCTTGCCACGGGCGGCGGAGGTCGTGCGGGTGGCCGGTTCGTTTTCTCTCGTGGTGCGGGCCTGCCGTCTTTGCCGCCCCTTCCTGCTTGGGACCGATCCCAGCTTCCCGGTTCTCGGGTTCGGGCCGCTCCGTTCGGGCGAATCTCGTCCTGGTTCCTGGTTTCACTTTGGTCGCTGGCGGCGGCGGCGGCGGCGGCGGCGGCGGCGGCGGCGGCGGCGGCGGCGGCGGCTCGATCTCGGTCTAGGTCTCTGGTGGCTCTGGTGTCGTTCGTGAGGTCGCAGAGAGGACCCGGCTGCAGGTCCTGACCTAGGTTGTGCCACTCGGTGCGTGGCGGTGGTGAGTGAGGCGATTTGTTTCCGTGTTCTGTGTCTCCGGAGCTCAGAGCCGGCCGGCGCGCGCCGATCCGGGGTACGGCGGCTCGGTGGAGTCGGTCGTTGGAAGGCGGTTGTCGTGCTCCCCCTGGCGTCCGCTTTGATATGACAGTCCCCTCGTTCTCAGCCGAGCGAGCGAGTGGAGGAGGAGGAGGTCTGGCGGCAGCGAGCCGGGCGGAGGCCCGGCCTCTGCCGGGTGCCGGGCGCGACTGTCGCCGTGGTGTCGCTGTGGCGCCGGGGCGGCTGTTCTGTCGGACTTTGCGCCCGCAGGCGAGCGCGGGGTGGGGCCGTGCGTCGCCGCTCTCTCTTCGGTGCCCGGTCTGTGCGGGGGGTGGCAGCTTTGTCGGGTCGACCAGTAGTTCTGTCTGGGCCCGACGCCTTGTCCTCCTCCCCTCCCTGGACTCTGGTCTTTGAGGGCGAAAAAAGGAGAGTACGAGGGACGTCTCGGGAGTCGGGGGAGAGGGTCCCCGGGTGAGCCGATAGGTGGTGGGGCCGGTCCCGGCCCGGACTCGGACCCCCCCCCCCTCCCCGGAGTCACCTCCGAGTGAGCGCTTGGCGCGTGCCGGGCGCGAGGGCCTGGGTCGCCGGCCCCGTGTGGCCTCCCTCCACGGCCTCCTCCACGGCCCCGGAGGCCGGAGGACAGACCTCTCCGGCGGGAGGAGCCGTGGGCACGGCCGAGGCGAGCCTCGGGGCCGGGACCTACGCCCCCCCCATCCCCGACATAGGATGGTCGTCGGAGTCACCTCCGAGTGAGCGCTTGGCGCGTGCCGGGAGCGAGGGCCTGGGTCGCCGGCCCCGTGTGGCCTCCCTCCACGGCCTCCTCCACGGCCCCGGAGGCCGGAGGACAGACCTCTCCGGCGGGAGGAGCCGCGGGCACGGCCGAGGCGAGCCTCGGGGCCGGGACCTACCTACCATCTGCGGGGACTTGCCCGGTGGGCCCTGCGTAGGGGAAAACTCGAGGCGGAGGGAGCACCTCGGGAGTCGGGGACCCGAGCCCGGGAGTCCCGGGTGTGTGCGTGCTGGCGGCAGGGCGCTCACCACCGACCCCGCGCGGTGTGGGTGTGGTGGTTGGGTGCCTCTCGGAGTGGGTGCCTCGCGTCTGCCGGGGGAAGGCTCCCCGTACCGCCCGTGCGGTGAGCCCGTGCACACCCGGGGTGTGTGCCTGCGAGGTAGTGGGGCGGGAGCGTCCCTTGACCCCGCTCCCGCCCTGGCTCTTCGTCTGTCTTCGCCTTATGTGGTCGACCAGCTGTCCCTGAGAGTTCCGTGTCTGGGCTCTGTTGGGGACGTGTTGGGGACAGGTGTCCCTGATGTGGTTTCCGAGAGGTCCCTGTCGCCAGCGAGTTGTCGCCCCTGCCTGACGACCTGGTTTTGGCGTGGTGACGTGAGGATTTTGTACCTGCAGGAGGGTGCTGGCATGCTGTGTCCCGGTGGCTGTCAGCGGGTCTCTGGGGGCTCTCTCGGATGCTGTGTGCTGGGCCTTTCCCGTCTCTTCCCGGTCCGGGTCCCCCTGTCCTTCCCCTCACACCCTGGGCTCCCGCTGCCCTGGGCAGGCCCTGTGTCCCTGTGGTGGCTCGTGGGTGTGGTGGTGGTTGGCGGCTGAGTGAGTCCCGTCGTCCTTGATCTCTCCCCCGCTCCCGGTGCCAGATTCTGGCCCTTGCCTCGGCACGCTGAGGAGGAGAGTGGTTGGTTGCCTGGGGTGTGCATAGGTAGGGCCCGCACGGTGTGCTTCCCTCGCCGTGGCCGGCTTGAGGAGGAAAAAGGGGGGGGGGGCCGCCGGCCGCCGAGTCCGGACTCTTGCGTGTGCGGCATCCCCGTTCTGCCGTTGGGCTCGCCCGACCTCCGTGACTTTTTTTTTTTTCCTTCCTCCTATCGCCCCTAGCTCCAACTCCCCCGACCTGCCGCTTCCCGATGGCGGGCCTGGTCGGCCGCTGAGCTGCGCTACCTCCCGAGCGCTGTCCGTGGCTTTTTTTCTTTTTCTTTTTTTTTTTTTTCTTTTTTTTTCCTCCCTTTCTAGCTTCTTCGGTCCTGTGCCCGGCAGAGGTGTCCTGGTTATCCCGAGTGCCAGGGACGCTTAAGCCCCGTGGTATTTTTTTCATTTTTTTTTTTTTCTTTTTCTTTTTACCTCGCTCCTTACTCACGGAAGGGTTTCTGTCCTGGCTACGCTTTTATCCCCAGGCTGTTGGCCCTCTCAGGAGCCGAGCTTCCCTGGGCCACCGCCTCCCGAGTGCCGCGTGGCTGCCTTCTCCCACCCCCTCGGTGTGATTGATGTGGTGACGTTGCGATCTCCTTCGGGCCCGGGCCTAAGCTGCGCCAGGCGAGGGACGGACATTCATGGCGAATGGGACCGCTCTTCTCGTTCTGCCCGTGGGCCCCTGCCCTCACCCGTCCCACCGTGCCGGCGCCGGTGGTGTGCGGGGAAGCGGGGGTGCGGCAACCGGGCCCGGCTGCGCTCTCCCTGCCCTCGCCGTGAGGTCGGGGACTTGTACACGCTGGAGGAGGGGGGCGCCCTGATCTTGCTCCTCTCTTCCCGTGACTCGTTATCGGCACGGGGGTCGGCTCTCTCCGCGGAGAGGGAGGGTCGGTGCTCCGTGCTTGCCCGTGCTGTGTGGTGTGAAAAACCGCGCCTCGCGCTCTGCCCTCTTGCGGTGCTCCCGGAACGCTCCCGGTTGGTTCTCTCAGGTGCCTGAGGCTGAGTGGTGGTGTCGTTCCCGATCCTGGCGTTGTCCGCTGCCTTGTGCCAGCCTGCTGCCCGTGGTGTGTCCCGGCCGTCCTCGGGTTCGTGGGGCTTTTGTGCGAGTGAGAAGTTACCGTTGAGATTGACGTCTCTGCTGGGGGGGGTCGAGGCGGTTCCCCAGAGGAGCGCTCTTCCCTTGTTGCGCTGGGCGGTGGCTTCCCCGCATGAGCTGCCGGCCCTGGTCCTGGCTTGTCTTCCCTGCCGTGTCACCTGGCTTTCATCGCACCGGGGGACCTGAGATGTTGCAGTGGGAGGCGAGCGGGGCCCGTGCGGGCTTCCCGCCCGTGTGCGCGACTTTGCTCTGGCCCCGCACGGCAAGGCCGACCGACCAGGGTTGGTGTTGCTGCTGCCGCAGACCCCCCCCTGTGCCCCACCCCTCCCTGCCCCCCGTGGTGGGAAGGATGGACGCCTCTGATGTGTGCTGGTTCCCGGCGGGGTTCCCGTCGGGGTTGGGTGCGGGCCACCCTCAGAGTGAGGAGAGGTTCTCTAGCGATCCTCGTTCGGGAAGCGGCGTGCGCTGCTGGGTTGGCGGGGGCCCGCCCCCGATGGGCTCCCGCGGCCCTGCCGCTCCCTGCCCCGCTTTTGAGCGCTAGTGGCTGCCCGCGTCGGTAAACTGCGTGCCCGCGCCTCCCCCCTCCGAGCTGGGGGAGGGTCCCGCGGGACCTCTCCCGGGCCGTCGTCTGGTGTGGTGAGTGGAGGACGTTCCCGATCCGTCCCCGCCCCTGCCTCGCGTGCGGTGTGTCGAGTGGCGGAGCCTGGAGCCCGTGCCGGGTCGCGATGCGAGGGCGTGTGGTGTGTGGCTTCCCCCGGCCTCGTGCTTGGGTTGCCGTGGGGTTTTTGGGGGTCCCGTCCCCCTCCCCCTCCGGCCCCTGGCGACGCTGCTCCCGAGCGTCTGTGTGGGCCGCCGCCCGTTGGCGACGACGGCGCCGTGCGGGCGCTGGGCCCCGCGGTGTTCCGGGGCCGCCGTGCCCGTGGTGGTGCGCCGCTCGGGGGGGTTCTGGCCCCCCGGAGCCGAGGATCCCGGTGTGTGTGGGCCCTTGCTCACGCGGCCGAAAAAGAGGCGGTCGATGATGGGTGCTGTGCCCGGCGGTGTGGTGTGGATGGAGGCGGTGGGGCCCTGCTGGCGCGGGCGGCTCCGCGGGCGTTCACGGGGTCTTTGAGGTGTGTGTGAGAGCTGCCTTTTCCCTCTCGGGCCTCTTTTGGGGGGGCCCGCCGCTGCCGCGGTGGGGGTTTCCGGTCCGCTGGTCGGCCGGCTCGGTGTCCCAGGCGTTGCGCGGGACCGCCCCGGAGTTGGGGGTGGTGAGATCCCGCGTTCGTTTACCTGGCGTGCCGGCTGTGCCCGGAAAGGTCCCACCTCCCCGTTGGTCTGCGGCTGCGCCACCCGCCCGTGTGAGGGGGTGGCCGCTCGCTCACTCGCCTCTCGCCCCGGTGACCCGACCCGGTGACCCTCCCGCTGCTCTTCTTGTTGTGCTTCCGGCGTGCCCTCCTCACCCGCATCAGCCTTCCGCGATCCTCGCCGGTTTGGCCTGGTGGCCGGCCACCGGCGGACGGTCGAGTCGGGCGTTGTGTTGGTGTTCTCTTGGGGGGGGGGACGGCGCTCAGCTCGTGAGGCTGCTCCCCCGGTGTGGGGGAGGCACGTCGTCGCGGCGGCGGTGGCTTTTGAAGGGTCTTCCCGGATCGGTTTTGCTCACGACGAGGGTTCCTGCCAGCGGGACCGCCGGTACGCCACGGGGGCGATGGTGGTGAGATTCCCGCGTGCGTCCCTCGCTCGGGAGTTGGCCGTCCGAGGGGCCCGAAGCCGGCGTCACGACGTGCCTCCTCCCGCTGGGTGCCGCCTCGCGTGCCTGCGCGATGTTGTCCCGGGTTCCCGCGCCTCCCTCCCGCTTTGCCGTGCGTAGGCTTGCCCGCATCGCATCGTCTCCTCCGTCTCGAGCCGTGTGGCTTCGTCCCCGCCCCTGTCCCGGATCCGGGGTGTTGTGCTCTCTCGGCGTGTCGCCGCCGCGTGCCCGGCGCGACCCCGGTTCCCGTGCCTGGCCCTGTCCGCTCTGTGCCGGCGGTGTCCGCGTGTGAGCGTGCTCGCGTGCGTTGGGTTTGGTGTCGCCCGCCTCCCGGGGTCCCTGCCGCCGCCTCCGGCCGCCGCCGTTGGCCGGTGACTTGTCGCCGACGGGTCGTCGCCGCGGACCCCCGACCCCCTGCCGGCACCGCCGGTCCGCGGCGGCGCGGGTCGCTGTGCGCTCGGCCCCCGCGTCCGTGCGAGCGAGTGAATTCGGGCCGGCTTCTGAGGGAGGTTGGAGAGAAGACCCCCCCCGTGGCCGTGTGGCGTGCGTTGCGTCGTGTGCGTCGCCCCTGGCTTTCCGGCCGCTCGGGTGTGCGCCACACGCGACCCGGCCGGCTGGCCGGCTGGACCGTGGACGTCGGCGCGCCGCCTCCGGGCGGAGAAAGGGGCCTGGCGCTCCTCCCCGTCCGTGTGTGCGCGCCGCCGCTCCCGTGCCCGCCGGGCCGGCAGGCGGGGTGTCGGTGATGCGGTGCCCCCGCGCTTGGGTGCGGTGCGGTACCCTTCCCCCCCCCGGCCACGGGTTCCCCTGCCCTCTCCGTGCTCTTTC